AGATCCTATGGAAGAAGCAGCACATCTGAATCCTGGCAGTACTGGTCATCTTACCTGTTCTCCTGTCTGTTGCTACCACTGACCAATACTAGTGGTGAAATTCAAACGTTAATTTGGAAAAGTGAGATGATGGCAGCAGGCTGGTTTATGGAAGGCAGTCTAAAAAGGATGAATGTTAAATTATTCACTTAAGTAATAGCCAGCTGCAAAAACACAGGGTGAGAAACAGCTGTCAAGCTGAACTGGTTGTGAAACAAACATTAATTAACATTATCATGGTGTTCCTAAAATAAGTCAAATGCAATTCTGGAGTGTATCAGCAGCATAGCTTGCAAGGCATGAGAAGCTCTTCTTCTAAGAAAGACCTGGAGTATTATGTCTGATTTTGAGTGTTATTCTAAGAGTAGGATATGAGCCAGTCCATGAGGGCTCAGCAGAGAGCAGTGAGAATGGTTTGAGAGCTAGAAAATTTGATCAAAAAGGAAAGATAGGACACACTTAGGTTCTGTAGTCTAAAAAAGACTGTGAAGAGTTAATATTAGCCTTCAGATATAAAAATTGCCTGAAATAGGAAGGGAAAAAGACTGTCTTACTTTTTCATGGTGCATTGGACAGAAATAATGGGCTTAAACTGCAGATAATTGGATTATCTGTTAGGAAAATGTATTTACAGTAAGGATAATGAATACCATAATAAATTGCCAGAGGAGGGTGTTTCCCTCTACCTCTGGATATCTTTAAGAACTGATTAGACACACATCTGACAGGTGTAGCTGACTAAGGTGTTACTGGTCCTGCATTAAGATAGCAAAGCTGGACAAACTGATTCTGGATGTCCTGGCCAGCCCTGTGGCAAGCCTGTGATCCAGCTCTGTCATGGCTCTTCTATCTCACATTTAAAGACCATTTAAAACTTCCTTCTGTCCTCCTGCCTCCATCATGACAGTAGCTGAGGATAACTGGAGGTGCTGCTTTTGCTTTTCTGTTCAGTTCAGCACACTGATGGGCAGGACAAACATATTTCCCCATGGTGATGTTAGGCTAAAATTTACATCCTGTTCGCTCGTGTCTCACAGCAGCTTTTTGCCTGGCTATGACTTTGCATTACTCACACTTCTCCAGCTCCGGCTATTACCTACTGATGTGATTTATTGCTGAAATGTGTATGATGCCCAGGACGCTAATGAAGGACCTGGAACTATTCTTCTCCCTTGATGATTGCCTCTCTTTTACAACTAATACTTCTGTGTATTTTGCCAAAGATGTCTATTTGGGTCATTTTATTTGAAGTGTTACAGATTAGCCATCCAGATCAAATTGTCTGAGTAATGTTGGATGGGGGAAAGAACTGTTTCTTGTATGAAAGCCACAGTCCACAGGTTAGAGTTTTTCCCAGGGCAGAAGCAATCTTTTGCTCAGGATCTGCACAGCACCTGACACAACGCAATCCTGCTGCAATATTGTCACATTAAAAATAATATTGTGATTCCTAAGCTGTGTTTGGAGTTACCTCTGCATCTGTCTACGTGTTGAAATTTTCCAATTAAAAAATAAATAAATTAATACGGCATTTACTTTACAGAGAGGAGGGACCTAATATACTGGAACACCACTGTTGCTTACTAATTATGCATTATTGCAAGGGTTTTTCCTTTTCTAATATTTTTACTGGTCTGGTTTTAAATGTTTCAAGATTGTTAGGGAGATTTAATGATTGTTGGTATAAGAAATAACAGCTTTTGTCAGTGTGACTCTGATAACATTTATTTGAATTACATTTATAAATTGGTTAATGGACAAGTTCATTTGCAATGCTGAGTTCCAGGAGAGGTCTGGTACCTGGTAAGCAAAGGAGACAATTTTGGAAGTAAAACTATGGGGCAGATTGCTTGCTTCTGTTCTGAGTTCAGAGTTGCCGATATTTTGAAATAAAATAAATACCTTCTCTTTAAAATGGACTTCAACTTCCTATAAAAATAAATGGGTTTTGGAGGCATCTCTGATAGATTTGCTGTGTACAACTCCCCCCTTATTGTATTCTAAGTCCATTTAAAGCTTGCTTCTGTCCTACTGTTGCCATCATGTCAGTAGAGGAAAGTCTGAAAGTGCAATTTTCACTATTGTTTTCATAGAATCATAGAATCATCTGGTTGGAAGAGACCCTCAAGATCATCCAGTCCAACCATTCACCCTGCACTGTCAGGGTCCCTAAACCATGTTCCTCAACACCAAATCCACACAGTTTTTAAACACCTCCAGGGATGGGGACTCCACCACGTCCCTGGGTAGCCTGTTCCAATACTTCACAACCCTCTCTGTAAAGAAATTTTTCCTGATATATAACCTAAATTTCCCCTGGTGTAACTTGAGGCCATTCCCTCTCATCCCGTCATTCATAACATGGGAGAAAAGACTGACCCCCGTCTCCCTACAACTTCCTTTCAGGTAATTGTAGAGAGCGATAAGGTCCCCCCTGAGCCTCCTCTTCTCCAGACTAAACAGTCCCAGCTCCCTTAGCCACTCCTCATAGGACGGCTCAGTGAATTGTGTTCTTCCCATTCTGCTTGACCCCATCTGCTTGCTTTGTCCGTCCATTGCATCCTGTCTGCTGGCTTCCTGGGAAACCTTTCTTCTCAGTCGTGGTCTTACTGTGCTAGCTCAGATCGTGGATTGAGACACTACTTTGATACAGAAAAAAAAGGCAACATGAAAACGAAATCACAATAAGCTGTGTATTTACTACAGTTTCTAATCTTTTTCCTTGTGTTTTTATTTCTGTGCAGATTGTTTCTCAGAGGAAACTCTCCAAGTCCTTACTCAAACATGGAAACACAGCAGGAAAGTCATCTATAACAGTAAGTCAGTCTTAAATACACTCTTATTTTCTTGTTGTTTAGAAACATCTAATGTGACTAATTCTCCCTAAAAACAGCCTTCTAAGTAACCAGAACAACCTTTGATTGGGAAATGTATTTAAATTCTTTATTTAATAAACAGATTACCTGTGCTGTTTCTGACAATGCTTGTTGTAAGAAAATGACAACAAATAGTGTATGATTTGTACAAAAGCCACGATATTTACTACTTCTACTTTTAAGCTACTTGGATAACAGCAAGAAAGTTGTGCTACTTGATTACTTTATTTGAAGCTCTAGAACCTTCAGAAATTCATTTTGACCTACTTTGACACACAAAGCAGTCTGATGTTTCTTGGCCTTTGGGTTTTCTCCAGTTCTAAAAAAAAAACCAACTCAGAAAACACAGACACATGCACCCAGCAACACCAAATGCAGAAGTTTGATGAGATTAGGTATTTTAGCTGTGTTGTAATGCAATTATGGACTGGATAGTTATAGCAGCCCCATGTGTATCTTGAAATCTGCAAATCAATGTATTACATCTCATTCATCTTTCTCTCTTGGCTTGTTTGGGAGATCAAGCTTGTCTGGGCTGAACCTGGCATGCTTGTGACATTTGCTGCTCTACATTAAGACGAAGACTATAATAAAATATTCTGCTTTGGAGATCTCTGCTCCACTGCCTCATGGGGTTGAGAAGGATTTTTTCCCTTGATGTGCAATTAGCCAGATGGGTTTCTTCTGGCTTGATTGTTTGGATATTTTTTCTGCCTTCAGCCACAGAAGGGAGAGCAGACTGTGAGAAATAATGCTTTCTGAGAGCCCAGGGAATTTTCCTTCTTAGGTATCTTCTTTGGTGCCTGGCTGGAAAGGGATTTGCTTAAATTCATAAAGTGAAACCCATTTTATGTCTTGGATTGGAAAGGAATTCCTCACTCTTCTGGCTGAATAGAACCAGGAGAGAGTTTTACTCCCTAAATAACAGTATGTTTTGCCCACTGGGCATACTTCATTTGTCCATCCTCATGGTGTTCTGGGCCCCTCTCCTGCTCTATGAGGGACATGAAGGAGTTTAGTCTTGTGAAGACACAAAGGCTCTAGCTCAACTAAAATTATTAGGCTTGCTAGTAGAATGTTCTGGCAAAAATTAATGCTCTTTGAAATACAGAAGATGAGAGTAAATGAGTTAATAGTCCCTGCTGACCTAGCACTGGATGATAACCATGAACCATAGACCTTAGTTACTTGCTTTGGCTTCTGGCCAGTGGTACTAAAGAGCAAGTCAATTTTACTCAAATGGGCAAAAACTGAACTCAAACAAAAATTGTTGTGTGAGAAATTTTCTATCTCAACAGAATAAGTCAAAATCAATATGTTTATTTTTGGACCTGAGGTATATACCAGGTGTCTGTCAAGTATACAAATACTAGTTTCCTGACTTGTTCAGTGTAGTGAATTATGAGGTTTTTTGTAAGATTTTGAAAATTCCTGCCTCACCATGTTTTACTGGAATTTTATTAGTCCTTTGAATGTGTAATGTCTCATCAATACAGTTTTATTATATGATTATGGGATCAAAACAGAACCTCGATCAGCTTCTCCAGTGGGATGTCTGTCAAACTTTATATATAGAGAGAGTTTATTATTTTCAAATATTTGTGAATTTTGGTGTGCAATTCCAAGAGCACTATTGGTTGTATACAGCTTATGACCTTTTAAATCATCAAACTACATGGAAGAGATCTGTTGTGTCAGACTCTATGAGCTGAATTTCCAGCAAGGTCTCATTTGCCTGGAACATCTGAAACACCACATACATGCTTGTGCAATAGTGCTTTCATGCATGGTTAAGCATCTGTGCACCTACATGGCTGTGTATGAGTATTTTGCATGAGGGAATACTGTGAGGTGTCACAGCCACAATAGTCTTAACACCTCATAGTCCCTTTGGAGGCATCCTTCCTCCAATGTAGGCTTACCTGCAGGCTGCAGGCCCTCAGAGCTTCCTCCTCTGGCATGAAGCACCTTCTCCAAGAGCGTATCTCCAGTGTCCTCAACAACATCCCCTTCCCCGTGCCTCCTCCTGAATCTTCTTTAGAGTGGCCTCTCAGACTTCTTACTACATCTCCCTTTGGGTCTCCTGTGTCTAGCAGCTGCCACCCTTTCTTAAATATGTTCATACAGAGGTGCCATAAGCACCTCTGATGGGTTGATGTTTTGGGATGCAGTTGGTAGTCGCTGCCCACTGCCAAACTAGCTGTGATCTGCATGGAGCAGTTCACAGCCTCCCCACACAGGTCACTCCTGCAGCCCTTGCTACCAAAACCCTACCAGTTATGCCCCATGCAGAATCCGTTAGCTTCTGTCAAAGAAAGAAAAAAGGTCTTAAAAAATCCTGATGATGCTGAAGTTTATTGCGGCTATAGACAGACTGGATAATTCCTAGGAGCTGCATACGTGGGCAGTAAAAGCATCCTGCACTGCAGGGCTCTGACTGCAGCTCCAACCTCAGCAACCTTCAGCTGATTTGAAGAATAGTTGAGGTGTCCCAGCAGCTCCCCGAGGGCCTGCAGTCCCTGCGGTGGAGACAGTCTGAGCCTGGCCGGGAAGCTGGCATGGCTGCCAAGTGGGTGGCTGTGGGCATGAAACTAAGAAATAGGTTCTTTTGGGT